ACAACCCATTGGTCGTGCGACCCATTTTCATACAGCCCATTGGTCAAACAACTCATTGGTCGTGCGACCCATTTTCATACAGCCCATTGGTCATGTGGCCCATTGGTATTACAGTACATTTTCCATACGACCCATAAGTCATACGACCCATAGGTCATACAGCTCATTGGCCATACACAATAGAACAATATTACTATTTGATCCCGGGTATTTGATTAAATACATCTCCGTTGAATAAACAATATCACGTTTTGACCCACAGCAACATTTTTATGTACTAGTCCATATTGTTAGTATATACTCTATAAATATGATCCAATGAACAAGTGTAGTAAAGTCGGTTCATTTTTCAATATACGCTAATACGACCATATATAAGACGTGTCATCCCACGGTGTGCATTGAGTACGCACCAGATGTAAATTATAGTAATTCAAAGCAAGCGTTGTTTAATACATTTCGCTTTTCAGTGTCATTGACAATTGGTTACACCTTGACTCGCAGAAATGCATATTGCCTCAAAACGCAAAACAAAATAACAGACGTATGTGTATATGCATATGGTATATTTCAGTGAAATCGGTCAATACGTATGCGCTAGATTTGGCTAGAGATGCCGGTACAAGTACATGTATAATGTATACCAGTCATCTATCTTGCATGTAATAGATCAAATGATGAAAGTGACGTGAATATTTGGTGTGGGCAGCATCAACGCTTAGTAAGTCCTAAATTCATGTAAACTAGTAACCGTTTTATTAATTAGATATGAACATGAATTAGTCTGGAATTCAGCGATTCCGAGTACACCATATTCAACGATTGTTCAAAATCTCACGATGATAGACTGCATTTAGTCACCGGATTTGTCTCCAATGACAAGTGGACTGTGGGATATATGTTGCCACTGTCCCTCAACATGGTGATGTAGCGGTGTAGTAAACATTGATTGTTCTCGATTATTCAGGTCGCATCATTATCGGTCACGTGTATAAGCCTGGCGAATACCAGCTGACGACGTCATCGGGTGTATTCGTTACTAAAAGTACGCTATCCAGCATGCGTTACATGCGGCAGTATTTGGTAGGAGGACGTGTAGCGTCACACGTACTCCTCGGTCCAGCCTGCCAGCCCCTCGTGACCTAATGCGTGTCACGTGATTAAAACGTGACGTAATACTGATACATTGTTGTGCGTGGAGTGTGTGAGGTGATGAAAGTTTCCGGCAATTCCAATTAAGCCTAATTTCACAACAAATTTACTTTCTGGATTAAAATTACAATGGATAACAAAAGATAGATTAACTTTGTAAACAACATAAACAATAGTGTCCCATAATTCTTTGGTGCAATCCCTGGGCTTGGAAGTTTCCTCTTTAAAGGGCGGCAGTCGTCGGGCCGCGTCATGTTCAATATGGGACTCATAGCGACGTATACAACTCGTGAAAAATACATTGTTTATTTTACATGAAATTCGAACACGCGCTGCGCGACGACCACCGCGCTTTAAGTACGCACCCTTCAATTACGGGGTGAAAAGACGGACGGGTTTAGTAGAAGGGGAGACCGAGTGTCAACATAATTTTATATTCATATTTTGCCAGCGTATGTTTTTTGACTGTCAACTTTGCTGTAGAATGGTTAAGATATGCTGTAGATAGATGAAACTGTCACCTCTATCCATACAAAGGGATTACAAAAACGATAGCGATAAAAAAAAAGTACAGATCACATTTTAAAACCAACTTTAAGCATTGCCGAGGTTATCCACATGGCATGTGACCTAGATTGTCGACAGCGAAGTTGAGACTAATATTTGTTATGTCTCGCTCTACTCTATTGATTGTTAAATTGACTGAATCATATAACATGAACATTCCTCAAAACATGTTCACATTTTATTCACGTGCTCGACACATTGAACCATACTTCGCGATCATAAGTTGCTGAAAGTATGTACATTTTCCGACTTCTTGAAACGTGGGACATTCTCTTATCTGGACCGCTATCCAGGTTACCGTGATTCTTCCAAAGAATGGGTCTCGATAACAGAAAACGCACTATATTACTGTGTGCCCGATTCATACGTATTTAATACCGGGCGTGACATAGACAATGGCTTATATTTCTTGCACTGTATTATCACAGCTTCCATCGTACTACTACAGTTGCTGCCACATAATATAGTCCGAGTCAAACTTTCCCCAAAATAAATCAAAAATAATCAAAGCCGACAGGGTCAAATTAAAATCATCACCGAAATATTTTTTTTTTTCAAAACACGATGAACTATAAAAGCCTGGTGACACGCTAAGAATCTTCCCTGAAATAAAATATCAAATTCAAGTTCAATTATACTTTCGGTAGGAAATCTTTATCCCAGACGTTGGTACCGGTACCGAGACATTATAATGACGCGGAACTGACTTCCAGGACGCAATAAATCCAACATCAATAAGATTAGTAAAAAAAATCGATGACGCACTGACTTACGTTGGTGTTTTCACACGTGTGTCTTCCCATGGTACAGTCGTGCTGTTTCGCACGTAAGCCTGCCCCCGCAAGTGTCATTGACAAATTTTTCCAATCACGTGACTTGATTGTCAGGTGGTGTTTGAACACCAACAGCAAAGCCAATATACTACTTTGGCAGCTTTATACTTTGAAATGGTCGCCCTTTGAGCTCCACAAATTCTCGTCACAAGTAAGCAACTTTACACTTTAATATGTAGTTGATTCCTTCATATTCGTCAATGAAATTATATCATTTTTCAGTTAATTTTTTTTCGCAGTCTATGTACCGGCTTAGCGTGCCGGCTCAAGTGTTCCCCAAGGCCATAACCTTACGGCATTTTACACGTGAATGCCGGTAACTTTGATTTACGCGTATATTTTATTTGCGAGTGATGTGCCTAATCCAGTTTTATTGGTATTATAACAATTTTTAAAAATTGGATCAAAAATATATAATTGGCACTGCAATCTGAATGGTAAATAATACAACTATCGGTGATTTTGGCCCGGATTTTCGACTAAACATCATAACAGTGCCACAGTTTTTTTTTTTTTTTTTGCGAACCTCAACGTCATTACTACCATCCAAAGAGCAAATTGTGACCGTTGAGTCAGCTCTACCGTTTCCATCCCATAATATCGTGTGTTTATGTCGAAAATCTTGACCAAGTAACGTATTCACACGTAGGATTGGTGTTTCTCAATCGCAACCCACCGTATCACTATCGAATACATAACCATATTTCCGTCTGTATGAAATCGACAATGACTTATGTAAGTTTCAAATAAGGAGTGGTGATGTAGTAGGAGGAAGAATGTGGAGGAGATGGAGGCTATGACTGGTGACTCTATTCCCGCAAGTTGATCGCAGCCTTACAAAAAAAATGGCAACAGTTTTATTTATGTTTTAGTTGAACTGATCATTTGCTTCGGTGATAGTATGAAATTAGGCTTGGTTGTTTTTATTAACGTGTTTAGCGCTTGAATGCTTTCGCGAACAATTACTATACACGGTGTCTATTTCGAAATTGCCGGTATTTGTTTCCACCACACCAGTAACACATGCGCATAGCCTACATCGTGCCGTGTCGATAAGCCCGCTTGAACTGAGGTTTCTTGCACATTGTACACACGTTTGTATCAAAGAAACGACGATAGTCTTCGATGACGTAAAGAGGTATTTTTTTTACATTTGAAGGATGCTCTGGAATTCATTCTTTCTATTCCGCGACGTATATTAATAATTACTTTAGTTTTGTCGTACAATTGCAGTTTGGAGTCCATTTTTAGTTGTCGTGCGTTGGCACGTAGCGCCCAGACGACATAAATGTAGTTTTAATCCGTTCTCTATTTATCTTGCTTTTACTTTTTCCACGTGAAAATTTATTAAACCTCATAGCTCACTTTTTCTTCCACCGTATCGTGATGCACATGCTATTTTTTTTGCGTCTGATTTTAACTAAGCCGCCAGGCTTTTTTTAATTGCGAATTAGTTCCACTATAATATAATAGTCGAAAATAATGAAATGTTGGTATTTTGGAGAGAATACATAAAGGTAGTAGGTAGCGAAATGTGTACCCTGCGTTCTACGTGCCAAGTACCATGTTGCAATGGCCCCTGCGTGATGTGTACGTATTATACTAGTACGGTGTCCACATATCATATAGTAACTATAGCTGAACGCAGAACAGGAAGTGTCGAGGTTCGACTGGGAACTAGGTCGGCAGTTTATTGTACTTTAGCTCATCTGTCACAATAATTATTTGTATCTACTAATTGATAATAGACAGATTTTTAATTATTTCGTAACCATTCCATGGACGCTCAAATAATGTTTCAATGAAAAAAAAGGTCTTCAGAAATATAATGATAAAGTTCCATAAATTCAGAAGCTTGTTTTTGTAGAAGTCTGGAGGCGATCACCATCGACTAGAGCTTCAATATTTGTGGCTCGAATGCTCTAGCAAATGTCCTATTAAACAGCGCCGGTTTTCTGTTGTGAATTACATAAATCAAGTTGTTGTGAAATTTTGGTTAGTTCCATCGTTCCCATAATGTAAGTTATTGTAAAAAATCTTGATGACGATTTACACAAAGGTTTGGTATCTCAACTGCGAACCATCATATTACCAAAGAATACGTGTAGTTCTGATTTAAATCGATTATACGCGTATCAAGTAAGTGAAGGCGTGGTAGGAGGGAGTGGGGAGGGAGTCTGACTGTTTGGCTCTCTATTCCTCATTGAGCGCAACTTTACACAGATTTGGCAACAGTTTAATTGTGCGTTTTAATTGAACTGATCAGTTACCTTGGTAATACTATGGATTTGGGCTTGGTTGTTTCCATTAACATATTTTAGCACTCAGCCGCTTTTGCGAACAATCGCGACTATGAACGCAGTACCTACTTTGAAATTGACGGTATTTGTTTTCGGACAGCAATAACGCATGCGCAGAATCTACATCGTACGTTAAACACCTTCTGAAATGTCGTTTCTTGCGCATTCTACAAAAGTTGCTGACAACGAAACGACGATAGCCTTCGATACCGTAAAGAGGTAATTGTTTTTTTTACATTTAAAGGATGTTTCGAACTTTATTCTCTCCGTTCCACGATTTAATATGGAGTTTTATTTATGTTAATTACTTTAGTTTTGTCGTACAATTTAGTTTGGTCTACGGGTCTTATTTTAGTTGTCGTGCGTTGGCACGTAGCGCGCAGACGACATAAATGTAGTTGTCATCCTCCTCTCTATTTATTTTGCTCTTACTTTTCCACGTGAAATTTATGCGACCTCAGAACTAACTTTTTCTAGAACTAACACATTTTTTTTTCGCGTGAAAGTTGGATTTTATCTAAACTGTCAGGCTTTGCTTAATTACAAATTAGTTTAAAATCCACTCTAATGAAATTAGTTTGAAAATAATGATAATGCTGGTATTTTGGGGAGAATGCGTCAAAGTGGTGGGTAGCGAGATGTGTGCCCTGCCTTTTACGTGCCAAGTACCACGTTGCAATGGCCCCTGCGTGATGTGTACGTATTATACCGGTATAGTATGCACACACACGTCATATAGTGACTAGCTGAACGCGGAGCATATATAAGAAGTCTAGGTCGGCAGTTTTTTTTTTTTTTATATTTTAGCTCATATGTAACTATAATTATGTTTATCCGTAATATATTAATTAATAATATGTACAGTTTGAACCATTCAGTAGACGCTGGACCATTCGATGCGTTGGTACTCGGGATACTGAAACAATGTTTCAAGAATAAAGCTCGTGTTCCGCTAATTTCGAAACCTGATTGTGAAATACTGGTATCTGATAACCTCATGTTAGTCTGTTCTCTATTTTTGTAGAAGTCTAGTGGCAATAAAGAAACATAACATGACGATTATGAGAATAAAGAAAAAGACGGTAACCAAGACAACATTATCTACACCGACAATATTATATGAAGACGATCCACCTGATGGAGGATGGGGCTGGGTGGTTGTCATGGCAGCCCATTTTGCACTACTTCTATCACAGGGCAGTTTGACCGGATTCGGTCCATTCATAGTAAATCTACAGCTACACTTTGGTTGCGGTGCTAGTGAGATTGCCGGTGTTAGCGGCACGGCTCTTTTCGTCACCTTGGCTACAGGTAATGCATGTGTTCATTCAACGTATTTCAAAACGTCAGCTGTTAGAGTACTCAAGTGGCAAATATTGATTTCCGTCACCATAATGCGGATATCCTAATATAACACGGACACCAGCCGATTCAGTATGTGTTAACTGATCGCCAGATATACTAGTAGTAGTGGCCCAAAACCTGACGGACGCAGTGTACACGTGCGTACGTGCGTATTACGATTTATTTTTATCGATCACAGCCATAGTGAACTCAGATTCACCAAAGATAGCGTAATCTCTTTGAGGCTATTTATAGCGCTCAAGGCCAAGTCGTGTTTTATATAGCATTGGATCTCTCATCGACTCAAGTCGAATTCAAGTACACCACGAGGCATGTTATCGAGTTTAAACGCAATGCATTATGGGATGTCGAAATAGTATCACGCTGGAGGTACAGAACAATTAAATATCATTTTTTTAAATAATTTTGTTTCTCGTAAAATTGTCCGCTTAACCAAATTCACATTTTGAGTGTGCTTAACGTTATTTATTGACATTTAATTAATTGCAAAAAAAACACACAAAAAACACAACTAAATATATAGAATAGCTATAAAATTTAAAAAAACAACAACATTGTTCTACGACTAGTTTATACAATAGACTTTATAGACAATAGTGACTTTTCATTAAAGATATGAGGTTTCATAAATAATAACATATACGCTATATATCAGACCATAGACCATGGAGGATCTAAGATTATACAACCTATCATAAGTTTGTATACTTTACAATTATATTGTACAATTAACAATAAATGTTTGGTTAATTAAATTAAATATGCAATGTGGGTAACTTGAGTATTCTACAACATTTAGTTAATAATTTAGTTTGATATTTTGGAAACAAACATAGATTCGATAAAATTCTGAAATTCTTTTAGTATTTCGTTAAACTAATGTTCGTTGACAAAAGAATGGTTTTATTTTATGATAAATCGAGCTCCAAGATTTTAACAAGATGCACTACTGAAAAAAAGACTACTCAAAAGTGCTCCACGTTAACCATATTCTACAGTAACTACAATTCTTTGCTACTTTCATTTTTTGGCTTTACGTATGCAGTACAGAAACATTATTGTTGCGTAATTCATGTACTTAAGTTTTGGTTCTTGTCTGTACAATTCTCCCTCCCGCCACGGATGGACCAATAAGGATCTTCAACGTCCCGCAAAATTGTTACCGGCATGTTCTTTATATTTTAGGACCGGTTGCTAGTGCACTAAATTGCTGGTTTGGTTGCCGTGTTGTTGTAATGGCAGGCGGTATCATATCTACCATCGGGATATTTATAAGTTCGCTCGCTATTGATGTCTCTCATCTTTACGTGTCTTATGGAATAGTAACAGGTAATACACGAAATAAGCACATTTATTATTCATTTCCTCGTTTTAATACCAATGATCATAACGTGACGTCACTACATACAAGCATGTTCATTAAAGTAAACATATACAAGACCGGGACGGGCACCACATTGCCTAGATACGCGGACTGATACAATAGCTGCATTCAGCTATTATTTACTTTTTACATCCAGGTGGTGGCGTGCGCGCACGGATACAAAAAAATGGAGACAATCCGGGAGTATTACTGTTAATTGTCGATAGTTGCTGAATTCCACGAAACGTTGCTTTCGATTTGATTTCATACATTTACAGCAACACGACAACGACGAGAAAAATCACGCGAATAATAACAAATTCCAACGAATTGTAGAAATATCTCGATTTCCTTCTATAATACTGATTACATGTTGTTGTTTTTTTTTTTGTAGGATTTGGATACGGCCTTGTGTCGACGCCAAGTGTCGCATTCATCGCGCGATATTTCAAGAGAAAATACGCCTTAGCCAATGGAATCGTATTTTCTGGATTCGCCATTGGTTGGATCGCGCTTCCCCAAGTTTATCAGCTGCTTATCAACCAATTCGGGTGGAGAAATGCCCTAATGTGTGTGGGTGCGATGGACGCACATATATGTATTTGCGGGGCCTTGTTTCGTCCGCCACCCCAACGAATAATAACTGGTGGTGAACATATACTGGATAGCGACACCGATGAAGAGCGTGGTCCTGACGCGGCGCTGACGTGGAATGACGTCAACGTGACGCTCAATCCTGCATTTGACGCTCAATTACAAAATAACGTCACCGTCCCTACTGAGATAGTTGTAGAAGAAATAAGAAACGTCCACTGTTGTTCATGTGTGAATTTTAAAGACACACAATGCTGCAAATTCTTATCTAATTTCATCGATTTTGCTTTATTCTGCAACCCCTTATTTATTCTCATGGCAGTAGCGTACTTCGTCATTGCAGTTGGGTTTTACCCGACGGTGCTGTTCCTAGTGCCTCGTGCCGAGTCGTTCGGAATACCCTATCCGTTACCAACGACTTTAATGACAATCACAGGAGCCGTAAGCCTAATAGGCCGTGCTGGACATGGTGTTGTTATTGACTCTGGTCTACTGTCATCGGCGAGGGCGCTAGCAATAAGTATATTCATTTGTGGATTCATCAACATTTTAAGTTATTTTTGTGAAAAATACACCGGGCTTGCTATTCTGTATGGAGTATTCGGACTTGCAAACGGCGTGTATCACCCTCTTCTAGCTGTCACGTTGAAGGACTTTGTGGGCGTGGCGAAGCTCCCTTCTGCTCTTGGATTCTGCAATCTTTGCCATGGACTAGGCGCACTTATTGGACCGCCGATCACAGGTATGACTTATTTCATCGTTATTTGAAGCGCCAAGCTCGTCGCGCCACGTCGTGTCCGCGCCACGTCGTGTTCGACGTGAGTCCCATGCGACGTATGCAACGCGTTTAAAAACATTTATTTACATAAAAATTCGAACGCGCATTGTAAGACAACGGTTCTTATATAAACCCTGTTATGGACATATTTCACAGATGCATGACAGACAGTTTGTAAACATGGCAAGGCTAAATATCAGATTTTGGCGATTGTGTAAGTTCACTATAAATGCCTACGGCAATTCAATAACACTCCCTCGCGAGTCACGATCCAACCCTGGTCCACAGAATAATAAAAATGAAACATTATTCGATATCCAGATCAATTCAACCGAGTGTGTTGCAACTCGCACGACCGTGTTATTGTTCCGACTACTAGCGATTTGCCAATCAACTGTTGCGTCACTGGCTTGGCTCGTGGCGTATGGACATTAATGGCTTATACGAATTAAGTCATAATCTATTATTAAGAATCATATAGTTCAATTGAGGTCAGGATGATATCGGTTGATTGACAGTGCCGCAACGTGTATCACACATTGCTCAGATGAGCGTACTTCTTTCCAAATTAAACCTTTCACCTCATGACCTCTTGGTGGTGTTAGTAGGGGAATATAAATACGTGCAGTACAATTGTGCTACGCTGACCTTTGATTAGAGTTACTGTGATTGTTTTTGTTCACACACCTCATCAAATGATTAATACCATTATATTCTTATTACCCATCCAAAGTTCAATATTAGTACACTTCACTCAAATGTCGTCTGACACTCACGTGATGCCTCGCGCATGTGGGCTGCACATGTACATGTACTAACGATGAAAAGGCAGTTCCTTATTTAAAATAGAGGGTGCATAGGTGAATACTAGTAGATCAGCGATTAAATGACACATTGGTTGAATAATGAAAATGAAAATGGTCAAACATCTCCCTCGATTGCATTTATTGTCATACTTAACCCTATTGTACATGTATTTATACATTGTTTTCAGGATGGATATTCGACAATAGTCAAGACTATCGTTACTGTTATTGCTTCAGTGGTTTAATTTTATGCCTGTCGGCATTATTGCTGTTTTCTGGACCAATTCTCATTCGAAGGCGGAGCGCACGTGAGATTAAACTGACTGAGCAGACTCCGGAATATGCAACGGACTCGGACAGCACACCAGTATTACAGCTTGTTACCGTTGTCTGACCTAGTTGCCATGACGATGGAATTTTGATAGCGGTTGTGGTCTCGCGTCACGTGACTCTTTATTCCATTCTCTGCATATAATGGTAGACCACGCTCACATATAATGACAACGGGCGGATGTATATTTGCAATGACGTCATTGACGCATTGAATTGTGGGACATGTGTGTATGAGTAACAGTGGCAAGGGGCGCAATAATGTCCCTGTATCCCCTAAATCTGCCCAGATGACTTTGATGTTTGCAAGTGTATTTTTTTCAAGAAAACAACTGCTTGAAGGTTCATTTGAGATCTTTTGTATACTAGTATTTATTACGTATATAGAGTAATTATAACTACTTCGTTTTTTGTTGTATTTATTAAATTAATTGTATAAGTACTGCGTATTGTAAACCAAAGTTATTTAAAGTGAAAAAATAAATACAGAATACTGTTCAAAATAACATGTTTATAGACTTAAACACTACAATCATTACAACCAAAATTTCTTTTAAAAAAGTAGCTCAAAACGAGGGGAAAGAACAAAAAATAGATTGATAAAATTAAAGTACCTATGAAATGCCTGCTACTTTCTCGCCTAAAATCATATACTAGTATTGGTACTTCATTATTATTAATTTTTATGTTTTCTAAGCATGGAATGGGTTCAAAACTCAGTCTACTGCAACTTTATTTTTGTTAAAACAAGGCTCCTCATTAGCTTCTCATTTGCAAACAGGAGTGTTTTGTTATCGAATTCAGCGACACAAGTTTACCAGAAAAAGAAATTATCTGCCCAGCAACATTACCGCTTCCCTGACATGTTGTTGATTTCAATAAATCGAACTGTTTTCGAAATCAGTGAAGCAAGTTTACAAAAAAAAACAACATGATATGACTGGGGCAGTCAGCCGAGTCAGTACTTGTTAGAAATCAACAACGCTCTGCACTTTGATAGAAAATGACAAAGTGCTTGCTGCGTCACTGGAATCGACAACACCTTCACCCATTAACACCGGGCCCATTCACAGACCCATTAACGTATAACCTGGCTAAGTTCGACCGCTGGCCGAGTTCTACCATCGTCGCACCCACGCCCTCTTTCGGCAACTGATGGTTGCCTCCAAACCACGCCCTCTTTCGGCAACTGAATGGGGCGGAAAACATACTCTGGCGAGCGAGAATGAGTTCTACCACCGGCCGAATTTAAATGGAGACAATTTTTCGGCGAATCTGCGGTACGATGGTATAGAGAGAATGTCCTTCTCAAGTTTTTCTCATTGATTTTACGTCGTTCGTCTGACTGATGTCACGAATTCGGATCCTTTGGAAACGCGTAGTAAATTCCAACACTTACCATACGCATTGCTGCATCCACCAAAAATAAAACGTTTCAACAACAAAAAACGCCGACCGAAAATATATATAGTTAATAGTATTATAAAAGTATAGCGCAAGAGTATGGCTTCCTCTCATATTTTGGCTTTTAGTGGCGCACTTTTACTTCGACTTTAGTCGGAAAGTCGGAATCAGTCGACTGGTTCAGGATAGGTGGGCGTAGCTACAGCACGAGAAATACTAGTACCTCAAATTTAGTAACTCGGATACGAGTAATTATTTTCAACAACAAAATCAGTAACTGTCTATCAGTGGAACACAAATCCAAAACAGGAAATGTGTTGGTGGGCATTTCACAGCCAGATGTATTTTTTCTTACGAGACGGTTTCAGAGGTACGAAATGTATATAGAAGGGGGGAAATTTCGCTATTTCCACCAACTCTTGGAATTGACAAAAATTGGTCTCTCGCGAAATAAATAAATAAATAAATGAATAAATATGAATGAATGAATGAATGAATGAATGAATGAATGAATGAATAAATGAATAAATAAATAAATAAATAAATAAATAAATAAATAAATAAAATTGAAGAAGAAAATATTGTCAAAAAATGTACTTACATTGAAATAACATTTATACGAAAATTATATATTCATTATATCTTAATGAGCAGTTAATTGATGGGTATTATATTTTTTTTTATAAAAAACGCGGAAAGTGGCATAACGTGTGTAATTACGCCGCCGATTAAATATTACGCATCTGAGAACAACCTGTCCAATGGAATATAATCTCGATAAAATGTGTAATTATTTATGAGTGCTCGGAACACTTAATTGTAATATCCAAGATGGCGATTGTCAGCTGGGCTTGGGATACTTGGGACAGATCTCATCACAACACCAGCCTTGCTATCGGCGGGGTAGCTGCAGCTGCCACTATCTCGGTCATTGTATACAAACATCTGAGAGACAGGTAAGTACAATTGTGGCTTCCACTGCCAGTGTTTGCAGGAAGAATTCGAACTGGAGAAGAGATCAGACATCATCCCGAATTTCTCGGATTATTACTTGTAAATCCGTCATCAGAGTCGGAGACTGCCTTCATGGTTTTTATTATTTATATTTCCTATTTACTAACACTGTATATTCAGTACGATATAGAGGCCCCGCGGAGACTCCCGGGGTCCCGGCCCTGGGGTCCCGGGAGTGCCTTTCATATCAACGAGATGCAGCTTGTGTATGCGATCAGGTGACATCGACTGTCACGTGATACACTTTGACCTATATTCAGAGAATGTCCCGACAAATAATTAAATCTGAGGATAATCAGTAATTACGATCACAATGAAAGATGATAAAGTGTGTTATATATCCAATACCGGCTACGTCCGAGGGCAGGCATATGCGATAGCATTCGAGTGCGTTATCACACGAGTTAACGATCATACCATCGTTCAAGGTTCAAACAAATGAAATCATAGGAGGGGGCTTGGAAGGATGTGGTCATTGCATTTTTTGGCAGTATCTGGTCTGAACATTTTTTATTTTTTCTCGAATGTTGAATTTGTTCCTGCAATACCTGGCATGCATGGTTTTTTCTCTCGATATCCAGCTTGCAATATTTTTTTCAACAAATCTTCCAGTCACCCCCCCATGGTTTTAAATGGTCGACCCATAAGCATCTCTGTCACACTGACAACGGTTAGATGTATTGCGATAATATCAATACTTTTTCATTGGATATGACATCAGTATTTTAACAAGAATTTTACATTTAAAACATATTGATACTTTAAATATATTCAGATGATCACTCTATGTAAAATACGAACATTTTGTGGAAAACTTTAACATTATTCGTATAAACAATTTAGTCTAATCTGATGCAAAATAAATGGACAAGTCAATGGGACATAAGAGGTCGGTCAACAAGAGATTAAAAACATGTATACATTCGAAAAAAAAAAGTTGTTCATTAGACCTTGGGGTCTAAGGTTATTCACATTGTTGTTTTTTAAATATATTCTATTTAGGTACCGACGATCGAAATACCCTAAAGATACCGTTATTTTACACCAAGTTGGCCGGGGCCGATTTGTCCCAAGTATGTCACCATTTCCACTGAAATTAGAAACGTACTTACGAATGGCTTCGATAAAGTACGTGGTAAGTATAATATGACATATGTTATTGAACTCAAGCATCACGTGACGCCAACACGTCACACTTGATATGTGACATGGAATTCGAATTCTCTGCCTGACGACTATTGGCGCATTAAAGCCATGGAGATTTGTTTAACCATAACACTCACCAGTGTGTACGATCCCCTCTATACATTACTATGTAATATAGACATAACAAACACTACAGCATTATTATCGCAAACTAAAACTGTCGCGTACAAAGCCGTTTGATGACATTGCTGGTACGTACTATAAATTCAATATTTAATTAGTTATTCACTGGTATCACTTATTTTAACTCACCACATTTATAGTTGCATTCACACTTTGCACTGATGGTTTACTTGCAGATGTTTAAAGTATGAATGCAATTTTAACATCGTGTGTTATCAACGGGGTTATCACCCCCCTACCCAATCCTCACTGGAAATGATGCATATGTTAATTTCATACTCAACATGTAATTTTTGGAAGCGATTCAAAATGACATTCTCGTTTAAATGGCGGATACTTTTTGTATGTCGGGAATTGACTGGATTATTTTGACATGAAAAGTGACAAGGTAACTAGCACAATGAGGTCAATGACCATATATATTGTATGGAAGGCGTTACAGCCGTCACAGTTCTCTATCTATAATATGACGTATCTTGACTTTACAGTCAGTGCACAGTTTAAGGTTATCTCGTTCCCACCGCACACCGTGGATAGAATACAATGGCGAAGTGGTCAGTGATTCGGGATTCATCATTGAATTCCTAAACGAGAGATTAAAGGTGAATCTGAATTCACATCTAGATGCAACGGAAAAGGCGATCGCGAGAGCGTTTCGGGAAATGGTAGAAGAAAATTTATGTTGGTAAGTAAGTCGGATTATAGCGCCGATTATTCCGACAAAAAAGTGGTGCACAGAAATACAATGAATGAATGAATGAATGAATGCATGAATGCATGAATGCATGAATGAATGAATGAATGGATAAATGGATGGACGGGCGGACGGATGAACGAACGAACAAAATAAATGAATGAATGGACAGATGACGGACGGATGAACGAACAAAATGAATGAATGAATGAATGAATGAATGAATGTGTCATATTTTCCACGTAAATTCACGTAATTCATACATACAATCATATATCGAATTCAAGATCGTGACTACGTATAGGTCAGGTAATTCAAGTGGATCGTTGACTGCACCTGCCCTTAGGACGTGGTGGCCATGACAAAAATACGCCCATTGGCATCATTAGCTTAGGTAGTGGGAGCAACAACCCTGTGACCATCGACTCTTTTAGCGAGCCGAGAGAATAACGATAGAACGTGCACAATCACACGTACGTGCTATAACACACACTTCATGATATCAGTTTGTAACGCAAACACCGTTTATTGACCACCTTTCAGGACACTGGCATATATAAAATGGTTGGACAAAACCCCTTCCAATCTTCTGACAACCATATATCCACAGCGTACTGTCGTGATATGGTTGATGAGAAAGGCAATCGAACCCGTCATGAAGAAAACGTTATATTTGCAAGGAATCGGCAGGCATACCAGGCAAGAAGTATTCAGTAGAGTGGAAAAAGATTTCTTAGCTTTATCGGCGTTTTTAGGTGAGCACACATTGAGGCGATTATAGTTGGTTGACATAATTCAGTTTAAAGGGCGGCAGTCGTCGTGCCGCGTCGTCTTCGATATGGGACTCATAACGACGTATACAACGCGTGTAAAATACATTGCTTATTTACATGAAATTCGAACATTCGCTGCGCGACGACCACCGCGCTTTAATAAGCTTTTTCACTCATCGAATTCCGGTTCACTGCTTTGAACTTGTCGACCCAAATCTACACACAAAACAATTTTGAACATCGATCTTGAATTTATTGTTTTTAAATTTATTTTGTATATTTATGTACGAGATGTTCTGGTATTATTTATTTTGTTTCAGTTTTATTTGTGCATTTTTTTTAGTTGCTTCATTTGTTCAGTAAAGTTTTTTTTCGGAGAATGGTGAAGTCAGCGTTGATTCTCAGCTACCGTAGGGGGCGCAATTCACTCAGCAAAGGTACGACAGTCCTAAACAACACTAATCATTGACGGGACACGAGGAAAACTACCATGAGGTGATATTTAGTCTCACCTGTGGTGAATTGTTTTGAACTTAGTTTTATATAACCGTAACATCGTGCACAAAACATTCAATTGCAATATGACAGTAAATATCAAACCTGGTTCACCGTCGTAACTATAGCAACTTATCATCACAAAAACCCTGCACTATGATCAAGTTCCACATAATTCGTTTTTCTTGTCATTGTTTACCCAAATGATTGTTGTGTATTTACGTAAATGATTATCTGATTTTTAGCAGCTCTCTGAAAACATGTCCCAGTGTAAAATTTGGTTTGCTCACGGATGCGACTCTTATTCGTAGACTGGCACATTCGAAAATTTTTGTTTGTTTTTTGGTGGAAAAAAATGAGTTATTTTCAATGTTTTAGCTAATCATGAAGCCTCTGTAATCGCGAACAAAATTACAAAATCCCGAATGTGCCAGTTTAGTCGCACCATCGTGATAGCACATTTACATCTGGTGCCAAAATATACTGATAAAAAAAATAATGTAATTCTTTCGCTTGAAATGTGACTTCATTTTGAATTGAAATCCATTAATCCCATTTGGATTAATCCCAGCTTGTTGGGGATTTACCGAACTATTGAAGCAAACTACCGAAGTCTATACAAACATTGCTTGCAATGCTCCAATAAATACCAGTGTATTATTATTCCAGTACATTGTAATAATGTAATAAAGTAATGTTGCAAGGGTGATTGACCTGGCGGTTTTCCTGATCAGCTGTTGTCTGCTGCAAGTACTACCCTGAGGCTAAACATTGATTGTATAGCTCCATGGTAGTATGATGTTATTGTTAACATTCCAATAATTACATTTCTAGATTTTCAATGTGTTTATTAATTTATTTTAAGGAAATAAAGCATACATGTTTGGGAATAAGCCGAGTGAAGAAGACTGTTCAATATTCGCTGTATTAGCACAGTTTACATGGAACTTACCGGGCACAAATATAGAGACATTTATTAAAGGTACAAGTATAAGTTGTGTCATGACGTCACGTAACGTTGTCATGGGATTGCGCTTTACAAACGATAACGAAGGAATCGAGTATGCATTTTTACTAGAATGGACTTTTATTCCATTATTAATTATTTTTAGGTGATTGCAAGAATTTAGAAGAATATTGTTACAGAATGAAAGAGAGGTTCTGGCCAGATTGGGAGCAGTGCATTATGGGAGATCAGAAATCTGCCTGGTTTGAGTTTGTATCGTACCCGATGACTGACCCAACACTGTTAAGAGGATAAGGACAATGATGATGACCCAAATTGGCAGTCAACTAGTTTCTTTACGTTTAAGACTCACATTTTTGAAGGATTGCAGCGGATATTATTTGTTACCAGCCTGTAAGACGGGGGTGGCAATTGTGTATGCTGAAAGATTTGATCATTATCAGTACACAACTTTAACGCGGGAATTTAGTCACAGGCGACAATAACACACGCTGATAACGCAAAGGCTCATGGGTAGACGCTTGTTTGTAAATAATGACACGCTATGGCCATCTGACGCATGCGAAGGTGATGACTACCCAGATTTAAGTTTTGCGCCATCTCTCTCTGTTTCCATTGTTGGTGCAGTCCCGCTAGAAGGACTGTGGTTGGTGCTATCTTGTTTTTTTTCCATGCAAAGTAAGAGGCACTTCCAGATTTCTTTGATGAAGTTTTCACGAAATGTAGTAAAATATGAGCAATTAAAATAATCATAAAATAAAGGAATACTTTTAGCTTCCTGTAACAATTTGTATTTACAATTTATCCACAAATTTTGAACAGATATAAACCCCCCCTCCCCCCCAATAGTCTAACACTTGTAACCAACACAACAGTATGTCAGTGTGTTATTTCGCTAATCATTTTGTTAAGGCTATTAAGCAATACAAAGCATGTTGAAGGACACTTTCACTTTCAATAGTTGAAAAAAGTTCCATTAAAGGAATCTTTGAACAATATTTTAATATAAAATGTCTATTATTATGGTATTCATCTTTTCTAAAAGAAAAAAAAATGTGTTTGAGTGAACTGTAGTTGTGTTGTTGAATTGTTTTCTTTTTTGTGATGTTTACAGTCACACTCCTTTTTGTACAAAATCTATCTGTGAAAGTTTGTCTTGGATTGCAAGACATCTTAACATGCATTATTATTTGTAAAACATTCATGTGGAAATAATTTCTGTGACTCATTCTCATGTCTGTATACTCATTTTAAAACCCACTTATACTGCAACACAAATAATACATAACAAACAAAATAAATGTGCTTACATTGAGATATACGAAAATTCCAAGCAGCGCTCTCACCGTACTTTATATCTTAATGAACATTAAGTTGATGGGGACTATATTTGTTTATAAAAAGCACGAAAAGTAGCATAACGTGTGTAATTACGTCACAAAATAAACGCATTATTATGCGTGAAATATTCATGTGCCAAGTTTTAAGTGGATTGTTCATAATATAAAAAATGTACAGCAAACAATATCAACATAACTATCTGTGTATTAAGTTTGGAAATAAAGTGTGTGCATTTGAGATGCAAGTAATGTGCAGAAATTGACTGCCTATATTAGTAAACCAAATTGACTGCTAGTTGGCCAACTTAGATTGAGTACTGTAAAATCTGTATTAGAAGCCGCGACTTCTATTGAAATGATACAATGCAACAGAGGGAATGCGGCTTCTATTAGAGCATCTACACATGAGAAATGAATTTTTGGTTCAGAATTTTCAAAAAGAATGGGTGCGACTTCTATTAGGGATGCAGCTTCTAATACAGAGTTTACAGTAGTAACACATCTGTGTACCAGTTATAACTGTTACTTTTTCCAGTCAACGAATGACTAATGCATATAGCATTTAGAGTTCATAACAAGCTTATTATTATTATTATTAGTATTATTATTATTATTATTATTATATATCTTTCCCTTCTCCTGGTGTATGTGGAGCTAAGAACAAAGCAGGGTGGCGACAATCAGAAGAACTATCGACTAAATTCTGAAACACACCCACTATCTTGGAAATATTATGCAACGTTCCCTATTTGGAAGTCACATTTCCTAATAAGGTATGGGCTACAGATACTCCAGTCAATATCACCAAATGATGGTATGGTGGTAACATACTAGTAGTACCGGTAGGTATCATCATAACCAACATGAAATGTATTACCCTAAGTAAAAATGTACAATGATGACAAACATAGGGGAAGAGATATGATTTGTTGAAAACAAAATTTTTATTAAAAGAACTATAGAAAACATTGTTCCGAGTCAAGGAAATAAGACATATAAAATATATTTTCTGAAAGCTTGGCCATGTCAAGGTTAACACAGTTAGCGAATAAAACATACGACTAAAGTCAGGGCACTTGATTCTATTCACAAAATGGAGGCACTGAAGACAATTTTGTCAAGCAGATGTAAAATATGATGTATTCTCACACATCCAAGCTTTCAGAAAATATATCTGTTTATATATTTTAGAACTTTGAATATTGTCCTTAAACATCTTAATCTTGTGCATTTCTAAGTTAAAAGGGGGAAAATTCATTGATAACTAAATCCTTGAAGACAATAATTCTCAAAAAGAAGGAAAAATGTTAGAATTGTTTTTGAAATACAAGAATAAACTGATATAATTTCAAAAATTGAATATATGTTGAAAATAAGTTGGTCCAGTTTAAGTATTTAATTCAGGCGATGCATTATATAATAATCATTATGACCCTTGAACTCAACATGTTGAAGTGTGACGTTCCCTGAATGCCTAACAAACAACAACAAATGTTTCTAATAAAACAATTTAATATACTTCATTATGTACAGTAAATCCACAATTAGAATATTATACAACTGATGATTATAAATGAATAGCAATAAACAATGGGAAAATAATAAATAAATTTAACTTGAGTTTCTTTTCATAGAAAAACTAGCAAAAGCAAGTTTAAGAAAAAAAAGAAACAGAATGAACAAACTCACGTTGAAGATACAGCATCATTGGTATTACTAATATTTGCAGTGACAAGTATAGTGTTAAACAGCTCTACCATATTTTCACTATTTAGATCGCATCTCTAATAGAAACGCATTCAAACCAGCAATTATTTGTATTCTTAGATCATACAAATATTACTTGTTTTGACAAGCAATATACACACCACTGTCATTTATGTATTAGTGTATGTGCTACTAATAGAGTAAATATGGTACAAGTTAAGATATAACAGTACATGTACATCCCAAGTGGTACATGACATTATCTTCTTTTATATCTATCCTAATTCCCAAACAGGTAAACCCAATATGCACTGGAAGGTATTCACAAATAATATGGTATTGTCATCATGCTAGTGTCTATTCATTTAGTAGAATGTTATTAAATTGGAGAAAACATGTGTATCATTGAATTTGCACAATAATCTCGTACAACTTTCTGGAACTAACAAATTGATACTATTCATATCAGGGTTCTGCCCAACCTGATTTTGGTGCAGATCACTAATTAATATTCATCCTGAAACATTGACCTGAATGTTAGCTATTTGCTGTTATATGACCTGAATGTTACTGTTAACTGAATGTTAGCTGTTTACTGTTATGTTAACTGAATGTTAGCTGTTTACTGTTATGTTAACTGAATGTTAGCTGTTTACTGTTATGTTAACTGAATGTTAGCAGTTTACTGTTATGTTAACTGAATGTTAGCAGTTTACTGTTATGTTAACTGAATGTTAGCAGTTTACTGTTATGTTAACTGAATGTTAGCTGTTTACTGTTATGTTAGCTGTTTACTGTTATGTTAACTGAATGTTAGCTGTTTACCATTATGTTAACTGAATGTTAGCTGTTTACCATTATGTTAACTGAATGTTAGCTGTTTACCATTATGTTAACTGAATGTTAGCTGTTTACTGTTATGTTAACTAAATGTTTGCTATTTGCTGCTATGTGACCTGAATGTTAACCATTTGCTGATATTTGACCTGAATG